ACTTCTGTTTAGTCAAAGTAAATATTGTGTTTTTTCACAACCCTGCTGTACTTGCTTCTTGCTGGTTGCTTGCTTTGCTTACTCTTTGACTCTGAAGGAGGCAGTACATTCCTCCAAATGTTGGTGAACTTGTACTAGGCTGCACAGCATCACATCCCAGAAAATAGTATTCTTCAAACTGATAACACAGTAAGTACCACATTGTTACTATGGAATTGTGGTTAGTACATATCATGACTGATTCTAAACTGTAAAATCTCTAATTTGAGTCCTTAGATCACGTCACTTGCTGTGTTTCTCTCTGTCTTTGTCAGGAAAGTGCATTAACATATGCCAGCGCTGAAATACAGGGGACTCTGTAACTGGCAGCAACAGACAGGTACTAGGTGACAAGAGATATGAAAGTTTAATATACAAGTATGTTGTCTGATTTGTTGTCATAGATACTGACAGTACATGCAGATATCTATGAGCTGTAATCTGTAATTGTCTGCAGGAGAGATAAGGGTGTATCAGCTGCCCCATCACACACAGTCAATAGTTCTGGGGAAAGGCCAGCTCATACTGTTGACTTACTACCATCACTATAATAGTCAAAAAGTTAGAGGGCTTCTAGGATGTGATAGAGTGTGGTTTGTTTTTAGTTATCAACATGTTGGAGGAGCCATCTTCTGTCTGCCTCTTGCCAGAGGACTGAGGTGGTAGGTTCTTCTGAAATTCTGGTACCTATCTATCAAACTACATGACGACATTTCATAGTCTTGAAATGCTAATAGTAAGTACCATACATATCAGAAGAAATTGAGGATTTTGACCTTATAATTTCTTGGACAGAGCCACATTTTGTAGTTCAGGATTCTTGCTGGACCTTCTTTGTTACCAACTGTGTGAGGGACATTTCATTTGTCAGCAGTGAAGACGGGAAGATTATGAAGATAGTGAGAAGGTGAAGCTGTATAAATTAGAGAAATTATTCCTTCTATATTTAGAAATGAAGTGAATTGTGTGTGAATTACTAATGTATAAAAAGAGGTGGTAACATTTTACAAGTATACCATGAACCTCAGTGAAGTTTATGACAGAAAATAAAACAAATCAAGTTCATGGAATAATAAAGTAATCATCACCAGAATAATTAAAATAGCAGCATTTCCCGTATTTTTCTTCTGTCATAAGTTTCAGAGATAATATTCTCTAAGGTGCTTGTTTGGTTAAATTATCACATAATACAACAGCTTCTAAAGCAGTAAGCAATATCGAGACGGAACACACTTCCAACAATGTGGAAACTGCCACTGTCTACGTTATCAGGGATGTCCTTGATGACTACCCAAAAACACTTCATTCTATTTGCCACCACTATCTCTTCCTTTTTCGCTTAGTGGGGGGTGCAGTCCAGCTGGGCCCACTTAGCATGGTGGCCACTGATTGGCCTACTGTACCTGCTCCAGGTGATTGTGATGCTGGAGAATTGGTGGGATGAAGATTGGCAGGGGAAACCGAAGTACTCAGAGATAACACGCCCCAGGGCCACTTTGTCCACCACAAATCCCACTTGACCAGACCTGGGATCGAACCCAGGCCGACACGGTGGGAAACCAGTAACTAACCGCTTGAGCTATGGCATGGCCATATCTGTTCCTTGGTCTCCCAACTGTGCTGTGTCCTGTCAGTGTATGGTTCTCTGCAATTTTAGCTGAGTGGCTGTGTGGCAGTCTCAAGATGTGATCTGTCTAGGCAGTTCTATAGGACTCAGCTGCTACATAATGCTGCACATTGCAAGTTTCCCTCTGATTTCTTCACCTTCTTTCTGGTCTAAAAATGTGTAGCCCATAACCTGTGTCAAGAATCACGTTTCAGCTGCTTCTGCTCTTTACAGCAAGCGTGGTGCTTCCAGCTGAATTTTGATCTCCTCATATGTCGTTTTCAAAGATGACTAGAAATAAATACAATTCTCAGTTTTCTCTGCTGAAAGTAGTATAAGGTTTGTGAGGACAGTTTGGTAATGTAGTACTGGTTTAAGGTATCCTGGATAGGAATAGTTACTGCAGAAATCGTCAACCAGTCCAGGAGTTGTATCATATCAGCACAAACATGCAGACTTCTTCCAGTCCAAGTGAACTTCATGAATTGTCTGAGATTTGATGTCACAGTATGCAGTGACAATTTGCTCTTGAAGGTGCTATTGTCTGTGGTTCTAAACTTGAAGGACATCCTCTGTGCTTGTGCGTGCATGTGCACTTGTGTGTCACATGCATTTCCATTTTCCTTGCTTCCTCATACTGTATTCCTGAACTGTGACAGTCTACAGTGGAACATTTTATAACTAAAATATGATGTAAAAGTCAGGTGGTCTGTGACTGATGGTGATATAACTTCAAAACCAGATAGGCTACTTATTGATATTTTGTGACTATTTCCTATATAACAAGTTCTGAAAAGAACAGTCTACTTTCTGTTCAATATAAAGTGAGTATTTGATATGTCAGGGAGGGAAAAACTTTATTACGTATGCATAAATAAGTCAATAAAACAATGATATATACTCGATTATTATAGAACCTGAATTTTGCTTGTATGAAAACAATATAAATTAGTAAAGTTGTTGCCAGGGCCTTGTCAAAACGGGGTGCACCATGGAAAGGTGAAAATTGCTGTAGGATAGGAGAGGCTGCAGTGTAGGTACTATTGATGGGAAGGATTTATGGAGTATACCGTTGTAATGGCCTCTAATGGTGTGATACACATGCCAAGTTTCGTGGCAATTGGTTCAGCCATTCAAGAAATATTAAGATTTGCCATAGCAATTTGAGAGGCTGATACTGATATAGCTGATGGGAGATATTTGGGAAGTATGCCTTTCAGATTGGCTCAGGTGACATAATGTACATAACAAATTTTGTAACAAATGGTTCAGGCATATTAAATGTCAGTAATATTATGTTTATGCCTCAGCAATTTGAGAGGCTGCTGTGGCTTGCATTCCTCAGAGTCACAGTCACTTTACAGCTGGTGGTTTACTGCCAGTCAGTTTGTATTGGCCCCAAGCTACTTAAGAATCACAACCAGAGATTTTTCTTTTTGCAGCTGAACCTTTGTGGTCACAGCACTTGTGTAATATCCTCTCAGTGTGCTTCTGTGGCCAGCTGCCTTCAGTTGTTGTTACAGGCACCTTCCTTAAGGGTTGGATGGGTGTTCTCACTTCAGTTTGAGGGGTGGCCCTGAAACCTGTTCTTGCAAGGCTGTCCAGCATCCCTCTAGCCGCACTGCTGTGACTCTTATCACATCGAGTTGCTACTGCCTTGCTGCTTCTCTTCCTATAGGGGGGTGAATGTGGTTGCACCCTGGGGCCCCACAGTGGCACTTCTCCATTGCCCACTCTTAGTGCATGGTGCCTCAAATCTAAGGATACATTATGAGCACACAAGACATCCAACCCCAGGATAAACACTACAGCGATACTGGCGACGAACACACAAGCAGTCAGTGAGCACTGTCTCAGAGTCAGTTTTATGAAAGCTTTCTTCATGAGGGGGACAGTCTCCCCTGATACTGTCTGCAGGGCACATTGCATGAGCAGGTCTCTAGGGCAGTCCAGCAGTGATGTCTGGCCTGGAGACAGTCATGGACATTCTGGTGTTGGATGTTCATGAGGCATGGTTTGTCTCCAATCCAGCCTTGTGTGTGTGCAGACTGTCATGGCCATGCTATTCCAACATGCTGAGTGGCTTCTTCTCTGTTCTTTTTCTGGGAAATGTTTCTGGAGGTATCTCCATTGGCAGTTCATCCTAAGATTGCCAACTGCAAGCAGATGGGTCATTCCATCCTGCTGTACTTGGTCCTTGGTGAGCGTGGTCCCATGGGCACTCTGACCCTATATACATGGGATGCTGCTGCATTCCATCCATGTCTATCATCTCTTCTGGCAGGCTCCCACTCATTTTCCAAGTGTCAGCCATCTTCTTTTTCATCAGCTTTATGAGGGGCTGGTTGGTCCATTTCCTTTGCTTAGAATTAAGCAAGCACTGCAATTTAGCCTGTTTCCATTTATCTAACCAGTTTGAGCATTCTTCATTAAACTACACTCATAACCTTGAGACTCTTGACTGGAAGTTTTGACATTCAGTTTCTGTTATTCTCTTTGGATAACAGAGTTCTTTGTTTGTACCAGGTAACATGTACTGCACATCAGTTTTCATCATTATGTTTGTTTGTCCTCTGCACTTCACACACACACACACACACACACAATATGTCACACAATGAGAGTACTGGATTTTTTTATCTGTGATGATTTTTAAATATTTGGGTAGCTTGTTAACAGATGATGGAAGGTGTACATGTGAAATTAAATCTAGGATTGCCATGGCAAAAGCTGCATTTAGCAAGAAGAAGAATCTTTTTACCAGCAAATTGGACTTAAATTTGAGAAAGAAACTAGTGAAATGCTACAGTTGGAGCATTGCTTTATATGGGCCTGACACTTGGACGCTTAGGGCAGTAGATCAGATGCACCTGGAAAGTTTTGAAATATGGTGTTGGAGAAGGATGGAGAAGATCAGTTGGACCGATTATGTGTGAAATGAATAAGTGTTAATTAGAGTCAGTGAGCAGAGGAATATCCTACATGAAATAAGAAAATGGAAGGCTGATTGGATTGATCATATCTTACGCGGTAACTGCCTTCTAAAAGAAGTTATTGAAGGAAAGATAGAGGGGTGGATAGCAGTGACCGGAAGACGAGGAAGAAGACATATGATGATGCTGGATGACCTTGGGGACAGAAGAGGATATTTTCATTTGAAGGAGAAAGCTCTAGATTGCATCAAGTGGAGGAACTGTTTTGGAAGAGACTGTGGACCTGTCGTCTTGACAGATTACTGATGAATGAATGATGCTTGATACTGTATGTGAACATGACATCTCCTCCATCTCTTGACAATACAAACCACTTGCAACTTTCAGAAATGAAAAACTCTAAGTTGTAAAGAAAAAATAGATCTAAATGGAGAATTTTTATTTGTGGTTCTGGTACAGGAAGCAGAGTCAGCCATTAACAATTCAGGGTTTGTTGGCTAAGGACATTTAATGATATCACTGAGTTTTGCTATATCTTATTAATGTACACATATCACATCCAAATTTATCTTTTATTATCCATCTGTTGCACTACTGTGGCAGCACTATGCTTGTGGTCCAGCGGGCATCACAATACAAATACAGTTAGTTGTGACTGAAAATCTGGCCACCATAATAGGAGGAGGCGCAATCCCCCTATTTCCAGATGATAAAGGTTAACTCACCCAGGAAGTGTGAAGATGTTTCTAAAAGAAACAGCCCTGTTAAGGATGAGCTAAATGAAAATGCAGACACTGAAAATTATGTTTCATCATGTTCAGATATCTGGAAAGTATTCCCCTGTGAAAGCAGTGCTAGAGATGTATAAGAGAATAACTGACACACATTCAGCAGGATGTGAGCTGTGATAAAAAGCTCCATAGTTGCTATGTCTGTGCACTTCACCCTCTCAGAGCTCAGGTCTAACCTAACTGCCTGTACTTCATACTCATTGAACTACATCTTTCATTGTGATGTGATCTCAAGTCTTGTAGAATGTCACAGCGCAGTATTGTTGTCATTATTATTGAACAGTGTCTGGTAGTACTTCACATATGTATCACAGTGTTCACCTAAAATGAACAGAAAGAAAAACAAAACATAATTAGAGGCATTACTTATTTGGCTCTGAAAATATAATCAATTACTTAGCCAAATATAAGACAACCGAAATAACAAATCTTAACCTTAACAAGACTGATATTTATCTAAAGAATATTTAAAAATTCAGTTCATATCTCACAGAAAACATACTGCATCTACATTACACAAAGCAGCCAGTTAATGCTGCTGAGGGAAATAATCGTTGTTTATTGAGAGAAGCGGCATAGTTGTAGCAAAATGAAATTTTATTACATTTGAACCAAAGTAAATAATAATGAAAAAGCTGTTCGGTTCGAATATGGACTGCAAAATTATCTCGACTAGGGTCTTTCGTAGTTTTCCTTAGTCCCTCCAGGGAAATGCTGGGATAGTATAGTAGGTCTTTCTAACTCATCAGTCATCCTACCAGCAGAAGCAAAGCAGTCTCACAGTCTCAGTACACACTGGGTCACTCATGGAGCTGAGCCCTTCTTCAGAAGCTGTTGATTGTGCAGTTACTTAAGAACTTCCCAGAATTTTATGGAACCTGAAGGTTCATTACAATGTTCACAAGAGGCTTCCACTGGTCCCTATCCTGAGCCAGATCAATCCATTCCATACCATCCCATCCTATCTATCTAAGATCCATTTTAATATTGTCCACCCACCTATGCCTTGGTCTTCCCAGTGGCCTCTTTCCATCTGGCTTTCCCACCAATATGCTACATGCATTCCTCTTCTCCCTCATTTGTGCTACATGCCCTGCTAACCTCATCCTCCTTGACTTGATCATTCTAATTATACTTGGAGAAGAGTTATGAAGCTCATCATTATGCAGTTTTCTCCAACCTCCTGTCACTTCATCCCTCTTCGGTCCAAATATTTTCCTCAACACCCTCAGCCTATGTTCCTCCCTTAATGTCAGAGACCAAGCTTCACACACACACAGAACCACAGGCAAAATTATAGTTTTGTATATTCTAATTTTTATGTTTTTGGACAGCAGAAGAGAAGACAAAAGGTTCTGGACTGAATGGTAGCAAGCATACCCGAGTTCAATCGCCTCTTAATTTCCTCCTGAATCAGGTTTTGATTTGTTATCGTCGTACCCAAATATCTGAACTGTGCCACATTTTCAAAACATGTTACCTATCTTTATGTCAGGATTTTGCCCTGCATTTTGATGACAAGACTTTAACATATACTTAGTTTTTTCTGTGTTTACTTCCAGACCAACCTCCTTACTAGAATCATTTAAAGTTTGTGTTTTTCTTTATGGTATCCATATTATCACCCAGTAGATTCACATCATCAGCATAGACCAACAGCTAATGTGTCCCATTTAATTTCAGGCCCACCTGGTTTTCCTGGACCTTCCTAATGGCATATTCTACAGCAAAGTTGAAAAGGAGTGGCAATAACACATCTCCTTGGTTTAGACCATTATGAATAGTGAAATTATCTAACAGATGTTTACCTATATGGTCTTTACGATACATTTCATTTTTTAATCAGCCTAACTAGTTTCATAGGTACCCCAAACTCTATCAGAAATTCTACAATACTTCCCTCCTAACTGAATCATAGGTGTGACAGGATATATGAGTATTTTCAATGACACAATATGTTTTGGCCATTAAATGGCCATTATTAGGGGTATACTTAATTTTAATATTTTAATGCAGTCAGTCAAGGTTTCGACTTACTATCCCCTCATATTTTATTATAAATAATAAACTCAAATATGACAATATGTACTACTTATGTTATTACCTAAAAATATTTTTAAAATGACCTATAAAATGACTGAAAAAATCCAGAAAAACGACTTACTATCCCCTCATATTCTTTTATAAATAATACACTCAAATATGACAATATGTACTACTTATGTTATTACCAGGGCCCACATTTGATGAACTAAAAATATTTTTAAAATGACCTATAAAATGACTGAAAAAATCCAGAAAAACGACCTAATAGTTAAAAAACAACCTAAAATGTATCATGTCATGGAAAATCTACTAACTGTTTTAAAATGTACGTTTAATCTTTATTAACACTGTGAACTCATCGTTATTCTTTTAAGTTTGTCCTCGTTATTAAGTTGAAAATTAAGCAATATGATTGAATTTGAAGCTAAATGTTCTAATATGATTTTTCCTACTGTGCTGGAATGCTTATCAAATGTACATATTCCAGTATTTAAGTGTAACCTCATTCAGAGAGTTGCAATAGATGACAGTCAACATGGAGAGATTTTTGAAGGTGAGTGAACGCCCATTGTCTGACAGCACATTCTTGTACTTGGAGAAACTCCTTTCCACATCTGCAGACACAGTGGGAGCATACTTGAAGTGTACCAAATCACTAGCAGCAAGTTCTTCTTCAATACTGAAAGTGCTAGAACTCTCCTGTCAGAATTTGAAAAATTCTGCATAATGTTTCATAACCTGAGTGTTTATCTAGAACATTTTTAATTTTTCTTGACACCATTTTACCCATGTCCTCTGGCACTTTCTCCAAATCACTGGCTATTTTTTTCAAGACAGCAAGCATATCTTCTAGTGTTGCTCCTTTCTCCTGTAAGCATTTCATTCCTTCCGTCAAGGAATAGAAATTTGCCTTTATGAAGGCAGCTGTCCTTCCATTTCACTGCATGAGAACTGTTCCTGAGCAGCTTCAATTGCGCTTGCATCTTCTGTCTTCATTGAATATACAATGTTTTTCACTGCCTAAAAATGAAAGCAATAGTAAATTGCAGCATCAATCCACATTCCGCCCCTTGTGATGACGGGTTCTGGGGACAGTGGAGCACCAGGAGCCACAGATTTAAATTGTATTTTAGGAGCTGGAGCCTTGACGAAAATCTTCCTTGTCCACAACATGAGAGCATTCACTTGATCTCACTTCCTCCATCACTATATGCAGTGCATGTGCTAGGCAAGTAAAGTGCACCAATTTCATATAAAACGACTTTATTGATGTGCCTGATTTTAAAATATATGGTCACAAAAACAAGATGATGTCTGGCCACAGAAGAAACATCGATCCGTCAAAGAGTTTACAAATTGTGGGATGATTAACGGATTCTAGCACCTCACTCATAAGCAGAAACACTTCATCCGGTCCATCAATTTCGAAGGTTCCAATGATGATGTTTGCCATGTATCAAGCCTCTGTATCGCAGGTCTCATCAACTAACTCCGTGATTTCAGTCCGCAAGCGAACCATATCGACCGAGCGACCGCCGCTTGTCGGCGAAGCTTAGTGCCAACTTTTGCACATAGAGGGTGTCACGTGGTCAGCGCAACAAATCCCCATGCCCGTTAATTTCGGTTATCTTGACCGGAGCCGCTATTTGCTTGAAATAGCTCCTCAATTATCATCAAAAGGCTGAGTGGACCCCGTTCCAGACCCACTACTTCTCCAAAAAAATCTGGTAGCGCCGGCAATCGAACCCGGACCTCTGGATCTGTAGCCAAGAACGCTGACCACTAGACCACAGAGGCGGTCCAGGTCTCATCAACTGAAATGAAAATCTTCTTCCCATGCACTTTGTTCCTAACCAATTCCAGGATATAGTTGTAGCACTTGGAAAGGTAGTGGATTCATATGGGATAGAATGACCCCAAATCACTTCCAGAAAATTTTCATGTTTTCCATAGTTCAGAGCTCAAAAGAGAATATTTGCGGACACCAGAGCATCACACAGATCTGTGAAAAGATCTGACAACTTATTTCTGCCTTCAGATGAACACTGTTGCAGTAACATTTGCACAGATTTGTTTTTGTTCAAAATTTGCATTGCTCGTATATGCTTGTCACGGTCGATATGTTGTTGTACCGTGAAACTTTTTTCTGCTGCTAATTTTGTCACATATCTTACAGTATAAAATTTTACCATCAGTCGAAAATATATCTTCTCCAAATTCAGCTAAGATCTACTTTAAATGACACGATTTAGATAGCTTTGCTTTAGGCATCGTGATAAGATGAATCACTACAGCACAACACAGAACCGAACTTTTCAGGCTGAGAACCTTCGTCAACAGTATTTTTGTCTGTATGCTGAAGGACGAGAAACTAAAGACAGATGGAATTTTACTGAGCAACAATATGTCATAAAAAACGAGGGATTCTGACTAGAAATATTTGTAACTAAGCAAATTCCTTTGTACAGAACTTGGAAAGGACTGCATTGTGAGTGACCGCTGTCGTACCCTGCTTCCAGCTTAAAATGTTTTATGATATGTATTGTCAGCACTTTCCGCAAAACGAACAGAAAGGATGGGACATTATTACAACTTATTATTGCATACTGGGATAGCAGGTATTTGGGGTGCACCTGCAGGCTGCCTTTGTAGAGGCAGGAGAAAGAGAAAGGACACTTTACTTGCATATTATTCACATTTCTGAAAACATATGAAGAAAAATTCCCTAAAATGGCTAAAATGAAGGAAAATGCCCTTAAAAGTCCAAAAATTTACCAAAAAATTACCCCAAAATCGAAAAAATGACAAAAAATTACCTATAAAAGTTACATTTCTGCAACCAGCAGCTCATCTCCGGGATTTACATAGTTATGGGCATCAAATTGGATATAAGGAAAAAAATAAGATGACATGTCATCTAAATCCGGGCCCTGGTTATTACTATGGCACCAGTCCACTCTTATCATAATATAACAGACAGTCCATAATCCATAAAAAATGTTCTTAAAATTCTTAGAATCACTGCACATGGTCCATAAAAAAATAGTCTGGGGTTTGTCTCTCTATGTTCAGGTTGCCTCAAGATATCTCAGTATGTTCCTCCACAACTCACATACCAGACTACACGGTATCACACATCTTCACTGCCAAGAAAACTTCAGTTCTTATATATGTAACCCTTATGCTGAGGCAGAGCTGCACAGAGTCCATGTCTTATATTCAGACAAATACACAGCACATGCAGTGTGTCACCTTGTGCAGAACGTGCAACAGATGGCAAGGAGAACATGCAGCCAGTCAGTACAAGATAGTCCTGGATCAGCAGAGGGGAGATTTTATGAAAGATAGAGGGAAGAACAAAAAGAAAGAGAACAAGTGAAACAATTAGAGAGAAGATTAAATAAATAAATAACAGAAAAGGATGGTATGGACACATTTTAAGAATGAATGGAAACAGAATTCAAAAGAAGGTTTTGAACATGGAAACTGAAAGGAAAATACCCAAAAGGAAGACCAGAGTCAAGATGCTAACAGGTAAGAAAGTAGTCACATAAAGGGAAGGAGATAGATGGGGAGGTTTCAATTGTTAGAGGACCCGCTTAAAGTGGGAATGTCAGAGGAAGGGGGGGGGGGATAATCCTGTTTGGTAGCCACAGCAGCCTGGATGCAGAACACAGGGCAATCAAGTTGTAGTTCTGATACTCACCCTTGCTAAATGTGCTGCTGCCTTTCAGACGTTGGTTTCTCTGTTCAAAAAATTTGAAGACAGTGTAGAATATGGTTGGATCTCCTGCAGACTTTGCTGCTTCTAAAAATTTCCGAGCTGAGACCTGATCCACAGAACCAATACTGCGCACAAACCTGCAATGAATGATTTGAATATATATTAAAGACTATATATTGCTACATTGCAACACTCCAGGCTATATAGTTTTCTGCAGCATGACTAACCATCAACTATACTACACAGTGTCACATCTCAGAAGACTGCAGCCGTAATATTCACCAAAAGAACCTCAAACCTCACGCAACTGCTAATACATCTTACAGCCGTGTATGAAACAGAGAAATTATCTAAAGGCAAAATAAAATTCATAGTTAGTGAAGATGAATTCTTAGTAAAGGCAGAGTTGCAGCTCCCATGTCTGATTGGAAGGGGCGTTAAGTAGTTCTCAGACAGCATAAGGTGTTGTGTGTGTGTGTATGTGTGTGTGTGTGTGTGGGGGGGGGTCTGATAACTGTGCATCTAAATCTGACACAAGTGTCATGTGATATTTTTGCAGCAGTCAAGATACAAACAGTGGTCTTTTGGGTTATGACACTGTGTAATGAGTATGTACCTGCCTGCTTGACTATACAGTGTCTTACTTGAGTCATTTATTTAACAACAGCTTTAATTGCTCAAATTATAAGTGGCAGATGGTAGGATGGTCAGAAAATAATGAATTGGTAAGAATGTGGTAGGCAGCAGTTGTGGCCTAATTTAACATACTGTCCCAACATTTGCCTAGAGTGTCTGAGGAAATCACATAAACCGAACTCATGGTCTCAGATCTTCGGGCCAGGATTTGAACCAGGGACATCCTGAATACAAAATACCCTCAACTGCAATATTGGGTTACACACTCACACACCTATAAACAAACTCCAAATTGCCTGTCCTATCTGTAACAAACAAAATCATTCAAACAGATTATGGGACTAAGTCCCTTTAAATGGGTCACAAACACTTCTTGCCCCATTTTCTCAGTTAACCATGTATAATAAGTTTCTTCTACTCAGTACCATATAACCTCTGCAGCTGATATAGCAGTCAATCGAGAAGAAAATTCTGTATTCTACTAATTTTTATTTTTGCTTGTGGTTTATTAACAATGCTGCCAGTAGCACAGACTATATTGAATGGTGGGATGATTAACAAATAATGAATTGGAAAGGATGTGGAAGGAAATGGTCATGGCCCCATTAGAGATACAAATTTCACATCTGCCTGGAAGAACTGAGGAAGGTTATAGAAAACTTGAGTGAAGATGGTCAGTTGTCTAGCTGAGATTCAATTGAACATGGCTTGGATGCAAGTCAGTAAAGGTACCACTTGAGCCAGCATTATTTGTGTACATTAACAAGATACATCAACATATTGTTATGCAGGGTATATCATGCATACAGAGAACTTTTGTAAGGCAGGACACAACACATGAGGTTTACTGCACTTCTTGTGAGTAAAGAGACACCAGTTGGAACAACAACAGACTTATGACTAAGAGTGAATAACATACAATGAATACAATTAAAATAGCTAAGAGAATAGTCCATTAGCATTTATGTTCTAGCTAAGAACAGCTGTAGGAAGTCTTCGCTGGTAAAACTGTATTTTTGGATTACAATTCTGTATAATTTTCATTGTGAGGTACCTAAGAGCAGGCAGAATCTGTTGCTTAGATAGCAGTACTTCTATTATCTCTTCATTAGCTGTAGATAAGCGTTTTAACATGTCCAGTGCTAGCTGGTGTGCTGGTGGGTACAGATTTTCCAATGACAGAAGCAGACATGCCTGAAATCAAGCACAGTGCACGACTATAAACAATCAAATTATTTTTCTTTAAAACGTTCCACTGTAAAGGGAGGTCTCATCACATCCAGGGCCTTCTCATAGTCTCTTAAGAAAGGTACAAACCAATGGCTTCGAGTCAGACACGACATGGTACTGAAGTAGCTGGTGCAGCTGGTAGTAAGCTTTATGTTGAACTAAAGAGTTGATAACCAGTTCATGCAGATAATGTTGAACTGGTATGTGGAAATCTGTGAGTGACCGGACATACTCCAACAGAACCCACACAACAAACTTGCCTCCATCTAGGAATGAAATAAACAAGTACATTGTGGTTACAAACTAAGTATCTTCCTCAAGGAGTTCCAAGCAGAACTCATAAAACATAGATTTCTAGTCCGACATATCTATTACAGTAAACCCTCATTAATCCAGATTAATTTGGGGGAGAGGTCATTGGTGTTAATGAAGCAAAAGACAAAAAAAAAATTAGAAAACAAATGAATGGAAAATGTTATAATATAGATAGTTCTGATGAAAATAAATAAATAAAAAAACACTGTAGAGCCTTTATTTAAAAATTATAAAAAGACAAGAAGCTGAAATCCAGGGTCCCTTTCATCCAACTCAAGCCAATCTTGCATATTTTCTTGTGTGGTTTCAGTCTCTCCAGCTGCCCTCAACACAGTTTGAAAGTCCTCTTGCCCCTAAATCCCATGTCTTTTATACTATGTGTAACTGGATTAATGGGGGGTCACTGTACAATCATTGTTATTATCTCATTTTATTTTTGTGAAAAACTCATCACAGAAATACAGATTCTCACTTTTATATCTGTTGCAAGATTCACTATGTAACTGCTCACTTATGAACATTTCATATACAATGTGTACGTATGTATATGATTCATCTCCATAGCAAATTGCACCTATCCAGCTCCAGTGGTTCATTAGTTATCACCATAAACTTTCAAACTATAGAAAACTTTCACATGACTGAAGTTACTTTACTCTCCCCCCCTCCACCACCACACACACACAAAATACCTTAACAAAAGCTGCATCTTTCTTTCAGACCTATCATTATACATCACATCAGAAACACATTTGCTGTCACCTCCACTTCCCCTACTCGTGGGTCTGCCTTGTCAATAATGATTGTAAGAACTTAAGAAGGCAGTGTTCAGGTGATTTCCAGTGGCATGATGTTCATATACAGGTTCATGAAAATCAGTCAACTGGCAAGCTGAAAGAGAGGCCAAATAGAGAGTTGGCCGAACATACCAACCAGGTCACCATCCTTTGTGTGTCGGTCTGCAAACCGGGAGAACACGTTAGTGTACATGTCTGACTGATCTATCACAACTGGAGCCTTTGGTTGTACAGGGGCTGCTGGGCGAGCAGGAGACACACTCAGTCCACTTGATGCAGGTGTCCCCATCTGTAAAGAAATTCAACACTTTAATCTGAGTTTTATTAAAATACTTCTGTTCAGTTTTCAACACAGAAGAAATGAAATGTAAAATTACCTTTAATGTCTTAGTTTTTTTGTGAGTTAATTCACGATGCTGTCAGTACCTAGACTAGGCTATATGGCACTGAATGGTGGGATATTTGATGAATGAATTGGAAAGGATTTGGAAGGAAACAGTTGTGACCTAACTGAGGAACTCCCTTGGCATTTGCCTGGAGGGACTGAGAGAACCCATAAGAATCAGTTCAGGTAGTTGATGCCCCAGCTGAGACTAAAACTTAGCAGCTTCAAACGTCACTGCCAATCCATCCCACTTGGTATGCCTGCAAGCAGGTGTGATTTCTTCACTACAGAACAGTTGGCTTTATTTGCAAGTACATATGGTCACATATCTGGGGGGCTGTGTGACTTATAGATAGATGGCTTTTGGATTGATGACTGGATTTATTGTACACTTAATACAACTTGTTAATACACTTCAAAAACCACTATATGACACACTACATTTTCTCTTCTCCATCGTCTCTGACTACTGCTTCAAGAAACTCCTTCAGTTCTCCCCTCTGCTGCCTAAGATCCTCATTGTATAGCCTCAGGATGGCCCCAACAGAATACACCATTTCTTAACATCTTCTGTTGTTATGGAGGTGTGTTTACCTAGCTGTTGCATAGAAACAGCAGCTCTTCCATTGTTGCATGTGTGTTCATTTCCTTGGGAACTTGTTTACTGAGTCACTGCCTAGCGAGGAACGTCTACTCTGGCTCCGTTATCCTGGCTTTCAGGTGTCATGTCACAATACTGTCATGCTTGGGGGGGGGGGCACCTGACCTGTGTACACCTCCCTTTCAACCTAAACATCTACAAAAATAACACCTGGCCAGCCACCAATTGTCTTATTTATCTGGTTGTAGCTCTTGCAATTAGTCTTGGAGCATTTACTGTCCTGCCCTCTGTAACCATTCACACTCCTGATGTCAGTTTTTGTCCACTTGTTACATCACCATAGCCCCAGTGCTCAGTCTCCACAGTCTCCTTTTCTTTTGTCTTCTCTCCTCACTGCACTGAACCAACTTCTCTTCTGTACTACTGAACTGAAAGTAACTAACTGTAACTAACCTAGAGGACTGCACTGGCTAACAAAACACTCATCTGCTCTGTACTGATGTCACAACTTCTTCATTGTTGCACTGAACTGCACTGAACACATGCACACTACGTGGGGCTGTGCAGCTTCTGTTATATGCACATCACACTTCCAACACTTTTCTAGTGAGTCCTGGAGTCACCTTACCCCCTTGTTTTCAGCTTACTGGTTGATGGAAAAATCTAGAAGGGTAAAGTCTCAATATTTCAAACAAACAAGAGATGAAGATAAACCAGCCCCCTTCCTCTCATCTCCTATAACAATATGCTAACTGGCAGCTTAATGCAGGATTGAGTTTCTATTCTGTTTTGCATTGCAAATGTTGAACTCCATGGAAAGGAGTCCCTCTTGAGAAGTCACTCAGCTAATCTAGAAATTTTCCGTCTCTGACGGAACCAAGACATTCACTGTGTTTTCACAAGTGTCTGACATTGGTTCCCATACTGAGCCAAATAAATCCACTACACCCCCTTACCTAACATTTTAAGTTCCATTTTAATATATTATCCTGTCTATTCCTAATCTACTAATGGTTTTATTCCCTTCAGGTTTTCTGACCAAAAATCTGTATGTCTATCTTGCTACATGCCTTGCTTATTTTATCTTCCTTGACTTCATAATTCTAATTATACTTGGTGAAGGGTACAATTTATGAAGTTCTTCATTTTGTAGTTTTCTCCAGCCTCCTATCGCTTCATCTCTCTTCCATACAGATATTCTTCTCAGCACCCTCGGTCTATTTCCTTGGGCATGAGAGGCCAAGTTTCACACCCATACAACATAAAGATAAAATTTTATCTTTTGGGTCCATGATTTATTTCAACCATCTTCCAGTACATATACTCATCTACCTCACTCCTCTCTCTCGCACTACNATATATTTTAGTTATTTTAATATGAAGACGGCAAGGCATGCAGTGAACTAGTTTAACGTAAATCGAATAAGCACCTGAAGATGGCACTTTTGTGCCGAAACATGTAGTGCGAGAGAGAGGAGTGAGGTAGATGAGTGTATGCACTGGAAGACGGTTGAAATAAATCATGGATTTAAATCAGTGCAACAGGATGCTAAAATATAACTTTATCTTTTGAGCTTTATTTTTTGAGAGCAGACAGGATGAAAAATGATTCTGAACTCATTGGTAGCAACCATTCTCCACATTTCACCTCTTATTCCATGAAAGCAATTTTGACTTGTTAATGTTGTGCCCAATATCTGAAGATGTCTACTCAAGTGAATTTCACTTTTCAGTATGCATGAGTGTATTCAAAATTGTTTATTACACACATTCAGAATCACACACATCAAGTTTTGAAGGACTTGTAGCCCAGCCATATTACAGATCCTAGAACAACTTCTTAGTTACACAACATAACAAAGGAATTCTGCCCATAGAAAAAAAGAGAACAGAACTAGTGCCATGGTGTCTAGAGCATGATACAGCTAATACAGAAAAAATGAACAGCAAACTATATCAGAAAGCAATGTCATGGTTCTAGGAAGTGGGATATGACATATATTGCAATATTACTGCTCTCAGCACGTGCCAACATGGGTTTTTATTGCACATCCAGGTACCCGTAGACATAATGATACTCTCCACTTGAAAACAGTGCTGATCTCCAACATTTACAGTTTACCCTGCACAGAACTGTCACTGCTGTCTGGAGACAGAAACTAGCTGATCCAATAAGTCAGGTTCATTACTTTTACCCGATGATGGAAGCACAGCTATCTTCTAGAGCACGTTTCTCTAACCAAAAGCAAGATGGTGCAAGATGTCCAGTTTGTGTAAAACATGTTACTTTCTAATCATATTCAATACCAGATAAATGGGGCTCACCTGACTTTGCATTTCAACTTCCAAGAAACTTCTGTATACATCATTGAGATGGTCAAAGAGTTCAGCAATGACCACTAAGTGACTTCGATTTTGCTCTGTTGGCTCAAGAATACTCTGGAGAACCTGCAACAGTAATGCTTTTCCAAACTGTGTTCCTGTTAAGATAGCTTTAGTGACACTAAAGTCATTCACTGTCCTCTGTTGTTCCCCCAGATTCTTTCCAACAAACTTCACTTTCTTTCTTTCTTTCTTTCTTTTTTTTTTTTGTGGCTAAAAATTGTAGCCATAGGTAGAATGTGCAGTAATGAACTGGTAAGAAGCTGAAGCACACAGTTGTCAAGATCATGTCCACTGGTGTCTTTGTTATTTAAAATGTTCAACATACTGCTAAATCTTTATTTGCATGGAAACCATAAGTCATCATGAAAAATATGAATATAAATTAGAAACAGCAATATTCTATAACGTTCTTATCACACTGAAAACATATATTCCCCACATATGTACCTATTTTTAATGTTTTGTTTGTGAAACAATTATGAATCTGAGATCAACTCTTTATTATACAGGATGATTTTAATCAAGAACCCAGTATTAATAAGTTCATGTTATAAGAGGGCTAGGACCGCTTTGGCGAAATTTGTATGCACAGTGTGGTGACTTTTCTAAACAAAAATTTTGTTCAAAGTAGAGTGTTTACAATACATCTTGTTACAAAAAGTTTTGAAAGTGTACATCAGCATGTATGTAGACAGTCTGCAGCAGCAAGAGTGAAAGGTTAGCAGTTATGTTGGATATGCTGATTTTCTGTTCATCCATACTGCATGGGTTACTATCATAGACACTGTCTTCAGTAGCCCCATAGAAAAAATCCAGTGGTGACAAATCCAGTAAGCATGTGAGCCAGAGTCCTTTCAAAATTATTTCATCTCTGAACAACAGGAATAGCTTGTGCATAGTCCCTCATGCTGTATGACATGTGGGAACCATGCTTTGGCAGTGTCCTCTTCAGTAAGGTGTCCCAGGAATTCATGTAGCACTCTGAGTTAATGGTGTTTTTGAAGGAAATGAGTCCAGCAATCCTACAGGGAGACAATGCACACCACACTCCAATCTTGATAGAGTGAAGAAGAGTTTCATGGGCTGCATGGGGATATTCCATGATGATATGCGACTATTCTGAGAGTTTCCATAACCTGTAAGATGGAACCATGCTCCCTCATCTGAGAAATAAATGATGTCTTAAACATGCAGGGGCCATCCTCCACCTTTGCAGGCAAACACTGTCAGAAATGATCTCAATTTTCATAGTCCAGTGATGACAACAGTTGCTGAACAGAATGCACTTTGCAGGGAAACAGCTGCAGTGTTTTCACTGCTTTGTGACAACTGTAAGACATTCCAGTCTGTTATTCAAGTTTCTGCAATGACTTGTGTAGACTTGCACTCTGTCTCTCTCACTGGCCTCTGTTTGGTATGTTAATATCTCCTGTCTGCTAGAACTGTTTTCACAGACTTCAGTAGACTTGCACTCTGTCTCTCTCACTGGCCTCTGTTTGGTATGTTAATATCTCCTGTCTGCTAGAACTGTTTTCACAGACTTCAGTAGACTTGCACTCTGTCTCTCTCACTGGCCTCTGTTTGGTATGTTAATATCTCCTGTCTGCTAGAACTGTTTTCACAGACTTCAGTAGACTTGCACTCTGTCTCTCTCACTGGCCTCTGTTTGGTATGTTAATATCTCCTGTCTGCTAGAACTGTTTTCACAGACTTCAGTAGACTTGCACTCTGTCTCTCTCACTGGCCTCTGTTTGGTATGTTAATATCTCCTGTCTGCTAGAACTGTTTTCACAGACTTCAGTAGACTTGCACTCTGTCTCTCTCACTGGCCTCTGTTTGGTATGTTAATATCTCCTGTCTGCTAGAACTGTTTTCACAGACTTCAGTAGACTTGCACTCTGTCTCTCTCACTGGCCTCTGTTTGGTATGTTAATATCTCCTGTCTGCTAGAACTGTTTTCACAGACTTCAGTAGACTTGCACTCTGTCTCTCTCACTGGCCTCTGTTTGGTATGTTAATATCTCCTGTCTGCTAGAACTGTTTTCACAGACTTCAGTAGACTTGCACTCTGTCTCTCTCACTGGCCTCTGTTTGGTATGTTAATATCTCCTGTCTGCTAGAACTGTTTTCACAGACTTCAGTAGACTTGCACTCTGTCTCTCTCACTGGCCTCTGTTTGGTATGTTAATATCTCCTGTCTGCTAGAACTGTTTTCACAGACTTCGGTATCATGGACGTTGTTGATGCTGGATATCCAAAATGGTGACTGCTGTAATCACTTTGGGCTGTTTTAAATGATTGTCTTTTCAGGTAATGCTCAACCATAGGACACACACTTTTCAGCAGTGAATGGCATGAAGTTTACTGCTTGCACTGCATACTATGCCATTTCACCAAAATGGCTCTAGCCCTCTAATGCATGACATTAACATTCCCAACATTTGGTTCTCATTTCAAAAATCACCTTGCATAAATGAACTTATTAAATATTGAAATTCAACTAATAATTAAAAATTCAATTCCTATCTCAAAGTACACATGTTGCATCTTCATTACAGAGGCCATTTGGTTAATAATGTATGGGGAAAAGATCGTTTTTTTTTTCTGAGAATAATATGAAACACACAAATATGCTCTCTGGGCAGAATAGTGTTTTTGAGCATTAAAACAGGAGACATAATGTGCAGTGGGCACTGTACTCTAACCCATCTGCTTCCTTCCCCACTTAGAGTAGTATGACCTACAAAACAGCCATAGAGAAAGTGATGCTATATGTTATCTTTTCATGGTTTACTGCCAGTAGCTCAGACTGAATAGCATCAAATGGTAGGATTATTAATGCATGATGAGTGTGAAAGGATGTGGAATGAATTGGTCTTAGTCAGTTTCAAGGTACTACCCCAGCACTTTCCTGAAGGCACTGAGGAACTCAACAAAAGAAACCCCTAAGTAGGGACAGTATCTGTTCTGGCCGAGATTCACACCCACTGTCCCATGAATAAAAGTCAGAAGTGTTACTGCCTGGTCCAACTTGCTGGGTATAATTCTTCCCAGTCTTCCACAGCTATGAATTCCTAAACAATGCAATCAGAAGTTTCAACCCATACATGTTATGATCACCTTCGGAGCACACAGCAGCATAGCTCGTTGAGGCACCATGCTACAAACAGGGAAGGTTGCGGGCTCAATTCCCGATGAGGTCATTGGATTTTTCAATTCACCTAATCCTTCCAGCCACACTGTGGCCCTGGAGTTGGCTCAGACAGAAATGAGTACCAGGAATCTTCCTGGGGGCAAAGGGCGGCCAGTGCATAAGGCTGACAATCTCACCACCACCTACATGCTGATTGTCTAGAACATGTGGGAACCTTGACAGCCTGTTACACCAATAGCTTTACCTTTTCTTCCATCTTCTCCCTCTTCCCCCCCAGGTGTAGCCTGTGCCACTTAACACTTTGCGGACCGCAGACGCATTAATACGTTTTTCGCTTTTAAACGTGGCAGACCGGTCGTGTATTAATACGTTTTTAGAACATGATAAGTTGCAACACACTATACATTGCTCTGCTTCCACTCAGCTTACACGCAGATGCCTGCAGCTGCATGATAAGCCTCTGGAATGTTTGCTGACTAATCATTTACGTGACCTCGCTCTAACTGTATGCTCCTGCAAAGGAAAATAAATGCCTTTATTTGTTCAAGCTGTACATAGCAAGCTGTCAGTGAGTAGTGCAATATGCGAACATATAATCCTGGGAAAGTTACAAAGTATGGCCTACTTGTTAGTGTAGTTACTGAAAGCACTTCAGGCTATATTGGAAATTTAGAATTTTATTCTGGTGAAGGAAAGAAATTACAAGAAACTATTCTTTCCATTTTGGAACCCTATCTTGATCAAAATTATCATGTCTATCAAGACAATTATTATAACAGTGTGGCAACTGCAGAACACCTACTTTCGAGAAAAGTACATGTTTGTGGAACAATTAGGGTGAACAGAGGCCTTCCTCCAGATCTGAAAGAGGAATGTAAATCCCTGAAATGTGGTGAAACCACATTCAGGAGGCAGGGGGATATTCTTCTTCAGTCCTGGAGGGATACTCATGTTGTGAATATGACTTCCACAATTCACAATTCAAGCATGGTTGATGTTCAAAGGAGACATGGACAGGTAAAGAAGCCTGTTTCTATTTCCGAGTATAATATGTTCATGAAGGGCGTTGAGAGAGCCGATCAGTACTTGGCCTGTTGCCTTGTGGCATATAAATTGTGCCATTTTCAATTCATTTTTGGTTTTCAAAAATCTAAACCCTCATTCAAAATTGAAATACAAGGCATTTCTGCTGAATGTGGCAAAAGCCTGGGCTACAGACCACATGGTGGCGGCAGAACCAGCAGCAAACACAGTCTTAGTGAGACCTGGCCCATCTACTCCCACCCCACACAGGCCTCATTTTGACCCCCCTGGGCGACTCTTGGGTGATATGTGGAAACATACCCTTGCAAAAATTGTGAAGAGTGAACATTTCAAGGGGAAGCATCCTTCTAGGCAATGCCGTGTTTGCACAGTTCACAAGAAAAGGAGTACGAGTGTCTACATTTGCAAGTTTTGTGTAATGCCACTTCACAGAGGGGAATGTTTCGAGAAACATCACACCCTCAAGCACGTCTAGGAGCAGTGGTAAGTGTTCTCAAAAATTTTTAGTTCATAAAATTAATTAGATTTTATATTAATTTTTAAAGTGAACAGTGCACAAGTTATGGTAGTAGGTAAAAAAATGCCGGCCCCAGGGTGATTTAAATTACCGGTCTGCAAAGTGTTAATAAACTGCAGAGTATTATGGTAACCCTCACACTATACAACTGCAACCATTCAGTCAAGCATTCTGCATTTTGCTTCCATCATCTGGAGCATGACACTGTGTAGGGATAACCATGGGTTAAAGGGCAAATAACATAACCCTGTAATACAAAGGAAGACTGTATACCTGAATGACAACAGGCTTGGAATCCTTCCTCTGAAGCAGAAAATCCACCAACAAGCATTTGTCTTGGATAAGGTTGACTAATGGTTGTAACCTAAGACCAATATACCTGTAAAGCAAAATAATTTGGACTAGAACCAGCACACTCAGCCCCCTTCAGTTGCACTGATAAGATGGATTACAGTGGAAATGGAGCTTAATGTTCCTCAATTTAGTGTTCAAATCCACTGTTCCCCAAAGAAGCCTAAAATAGGGATTTCACTTTACATGTCTTTCTACAAAGGCACAAAAGACACACAGAAGAGAAAGAACGTAATTAAATACTGCAGCTTCTTTGATAATGTGAGTTGCAAGAATGGAAACTTGAATTCGCTGCTAAAACTGTTAACCTGCTTTTAGACCATTATTCTGCTATGTTGCTGACAGACGGTCTTACCTTGTTTACCTACATACGAGTAATAACAGCAGAACGGTGAGCCAGTAGAGACCACTGATCACAATGAAACCTACCAAAATACAGATAAATAATACTACTTTAATGAACCCTCTGGCTGCTCAGTATATGTTAGCACACTAATTTGTCAGGACTGAAGGAAATGTAGAAACACTTCACAGTGTTCACCAAAGGATGGCATAGTATGTGCAATTTTCCACTGACCGTATGGTCCAAGCACAAGAACTCTAAGGCAGAAGCTGGGATATCCTGGGTAATACAATGCACCACAGTGCACTAGCATTCGGAACACTGTGTAGTGGCCAAAGGATTAACTAACTCATCTGATTACATATTTCCATAGAAGTAAGTAAATTAAGTAAAGCTATCCCTGTAACAGGCCATGAAGGCCCATAGGGTTGTGAGATGTTGAGGGTCCAAAATTATCTAGACAATCGGCTCAAAGATGGCAGTAAGGTTGTCAGCCTTACATGCCGGCCGTGCTTTACTCCCCAGGAAAATTATTTAATTAATTCCTGGTACTCATTTCTGTTAGAGGATGAGCTGACCCCAGGGCCATAGTGTGGCTGGAAGGTTTAGGTCAATTGGAAAAAATCCAATGACCTCATCAGGACTTGAACCTGCGACCTTCCAGCTTGTAGCATAGTGCCTCAACCAACTATGCTACCGCATGCCCCATTTTCATACAAGTATACTTACAAAAGTTAACTATTCATTGTGTACAGTGAAAACATAATGCCTTATTTGAACGTTTTCACAAACTGATCAAATAAGATACACAACCCTACACCACTGACATCCAAACATCCAGATGCTGATACTGCTGAGCATACATTTTCCATTCTAAAGAATTATGATTCAGAATGTTTAGCTATGAACATATTAATGTCTGTACTGCCACTGGTCCACCATTTGTCACAGAAACTGGATTCTGAACAAAGTGGTATATTTGCAAAAAAACTGAAGATAGCAAGTGGTAAATAACTGACAATTGCTGTATATTTTCACTCTTTCGACCTCTGACAAACTACACCTACAGCTTCTCTGCATTAGAGTGACATCTGTAGGAGAAAATGGCATTTATGTACACAGTGGCAGCAGCCCATCACTTGACAGGATCAGCAGGGGCACTTAGTAAATGTCCACACTTCAGGTGGGGGGAATAGCAGTGAAGGTGTTATGATTGAAGCTTGCATTGTCCACTGGTTACCACATCCCCTTTTTCACAAGAATTCTGAATCATCTTTTCATGCCTCTGATTGGGATGACACATTTATAATTAATTCTGTAAAATTAGTTGCAGCTATGATGACAAATGGCACAAAAGTCACAAAACAGAGTACTTCTTGTCAAAAAACAGCTGCTCAGCTGATCAAGAAATGTCCCACCTTTTATGGAACCTGAAGGTTGATTACCATATTAACACTGCCCATTATCCTGAGCCAAATGAATCCCATCCATCTAGACCAGGTATGTCAAACTCAACTTGTACAGAGGGCCACCTCAGCCCTAAAAATAATAGTCCAGGGCCGCACTTCAAAATAGAAATATACATTAGATTTTGATACTCATAGTTGATAATTTAATGTTTAATTATAACCTTTATACGTTCATCACAATGTAACATCAGCACCTGTCACTGTGTGAAAATGAACTGAATGACAATGTACAAGAGACTATTGGACTGGTAGGAAGGGTATCTTGTCTCAATGGTCATAAAAGTGAAAGTTTGCTAGCAGCCCATTAGACAATGGCTGAGGGATGCAAGCTAGTTTTGAAGGTATGAATCCCTTGCACTTCTCTGTCAGTTGCCACCCTCCTTACATTCTTACTATGCCTCCAAAAGGGATTCTTGATTCTTGGAAGTAGTGAGGCTGTGCGGATTTTAGTGCATTAACCTTCTCAAATACAATAGTTTGTCCTTCATGAACTTTACAAACAGTTAGTTGGACAAACCCTTCTGCAATTCTCAGAATTACTTTTCCTGCAGCCTGCTAATTTATGTCTGCGTGAGACTTCTTGTCTTCTGGTCTGCTGGAAAATTGTCTTTACAAAAAATATTTCTACTAAAATTTTGATATTGATTTTAATATCAATTGGCTCTAAAAGTTGAGGGGCCGCATGTGGGCTGCATGTTTGACACGGCTGATCTAGACTTATGTCTCCCAAGTGGTCTCTTCTTCCCTGAAGGTTTCCTTCTGCTCTTAGCACAGACTAGCCATGTGATCTCATCACAAAACCCTGAATCAGTTCATACTGCCTGCACTGAAAGTTCATGCGGTCATAACATTACCAGCTTATTATATAATAATAATAAAAAAAAAGATAATTACCACAGACAGCCAAGTTTTGCATCAATCACAATATTTGGCTGAAAAACAACCCAGTTTGGAGAATCTGCATACAGTTAAGGTACATTCTAACTCACAACACATACAGAAGATGACATGCAACAAGTCATTAACCATAACTGACACAAATTCCCTCTGAGAGAGATTATGAATGGAGATAGTGCAGCAGAAAAAGTGTTGACTCTGTTAATGTGATACAAATACAGGATCATATATACAGAGAGTTTTTTAACTCTGTTGACCGGTTCACTATGAACAGTGCGCTGCTTGCCACAATGTGCATACAAATTGTGCAGATGAATCAGCATGCCTGATGGTAGATAACGTTTGGAATGAAGGGCAGTAACTAACTTGTGGACCGCTTGACAGCAATATGTGTCATGGTGAGCAGGGCAGTTCATGCGTTAGAGTTTGTTTATAATTTGTCAGAAGCAAGCAGCAGTTATCAGCTCCATTAGCCATTTGTTCTCAGTTTCAGTTAGAGTGCAGTGTGGTATATCATGGTGCAATATACTTTAGAGCAACATACATTTCTGTATAACACCTATGTAGTGTTGGCAAAAATTTTGACTTAAATTCTGAGATGAAAAAGTTCCCAGCAGACAAACAATAATTTGGTGAATAAACTTAGGACAACGGGAATCTTAATAGACAAGAAATGAAAACATAGGTGCCAAGTGCTTACTGAGGAGAAGTTAGATGACATAGGGGCCAGACTTGAACATACACCTAGAAATTCACTGAAATATCTAGCTCAAGAGACTAGAGTGTCAAAGTCCAGTGCAAGAACAGCGACATGATTGCTGAAGCTTAAACTCTATACCACAACAGTAATCCATGCTTTGCAGCCATGCAATCCAGCTAGTATGGTTTAATTTTACAGTTGGTCTCTATAGCCTGTCGCTGAAGGTGAGATCTATCCGCAATTGATATACTTTCCTGATGAATTGTGTTTTCACTTGCAGGGCTATTTAAATACACAAAATAACTGCTACTGAGTTCACAGAATCCACATCTAACCCATGAAGTCCAGCTCTATCCAGTGAAAGTTGTGTCTGGAGTGCTGTAAGTGCAAGAGTGTTCTACCTGTGTTTTTTAATGAACAATTAATTGTGAAAGGTATCTACATGCAGAGATACCTATTCAACACCTATGATCTGTGAATTGTAACTACTTCATTCTGAACATTATTTGCCGCCAGGCTCACCAGTTCTTTGGCAAAATTTGTATATGCATCACAGCCTGAAATGCACCAGTCACCATGAAGCACAGAGCCATGGAACCAGTCAACAAAGTAAATATCCTCTATGTATATCCTGTGATATTTCTGTGTCAATGCATTTTTCAAATTTGCACTTGATAACAATATGACTGCTTTATGAAGTGCACTCTCTTATAGTAAAGCTTCTGAAGCACAAAGTTCAACTACATAAAATTAAAAAAAAAAAAAAACAATTTCTACCTCACAGGAGACATATGACATGTCCGTTACAAAGACCAACCAATTAATGCTGTTTAGGGAAAGATCACTGTTTATTCTGAGAATCACAAGAAACACATTAATACATTCTGTTCTGAGATAGGGACTACTCTATTGACTGGGCCCAAATGAGTAGGGAGACAGAATCCAATCTCTGAAACATTTTGTGGGCAAAATGCTTTTTAATGCTACAGCAGGTGGCATATACAGTAGCCAATGGGCTTCAACGAGTCAGTCATAATGGACGTCCACATATTTAAGTGTGTATGAATGTAAGCAGTCTGACAATTAAATAAAGAGACTGTATCCATAGACAACACTGTATTAAATTTAATTTTGAACTGCAGTGGTCTCCTTCAAAATAGTGCCCTCTTGCAACTATACATGAATCCAGTTTTGTTTCAAACTGTTGAAGCGTTTCCAGAGGTCAATCTCCTGCAGGTTGTTTGGAATGGCCATTGTAACCTTCTGAATCTCTTCTGTGGTTTCAGATTGTGATCCCTTGAGAAGATTCTTCATTGAAGAGAAGAAGCAGAAGAAGAAAAAGTTAAATTGAGTGAGATCTGGTGAGTAAAACAAACAACATTTTGACATCTCTGCTTTTTTGGCACCTGGATATTTGCAAGCTTTGCTGTTTTCCCTGAGGACCTTCCCCAGCAACGAATCTGTTCTGCCATTCATCATTCTCATCTCTTCATTGCAAAATATCAGTGAAAACTTCCCTCCTTTGCTTCCACTGAAGTGAAGTCCTTGGAAATGATCTTTGTGCAAACTTTCTTTGCCCCAAATGTTGTAAAAATCAGTCACATGGTCTCTCTTTGCTGATATGCTGTCACAGGAATACTCAAACTGTCCTAATGGGCAGCTACTTAAGAATTATGCTGATCTATTACAGGTACAAATTGAAGATCAAAGGGGAAAGCAAACTTTCAAAGAATACACTTTGGCAGTGTACGTATTGCTTTACAGTATTGTCGCCATACATCAGTCTCTCCTAAACATGCATACAATTACTTGGGAATCTAGTCACTAGTCCTGAATAACATCATGCAAGGATACAGAGTTCGCAGTTGATGTGTGCTGGCTCTCCCAGCATCTGGCTGCCTGTTGCTGCAGGTAAACACATGCTAAACGGTTTGATAGGTCGCATACTAGCTACAGGTTGGTGATATGTCACAAATCCATCAGATTCCCCCGCCATGTTGATATCGAAGAGCATTGAAGTCTGTTAAACACGGAAAATACTGATATATTCTTTCGCTAAAGCCAATTAAATAATCAAAAGAAGATGCAATCAGCATACCTTTGAAGCCTGATGATGTACTATGATCAGGTTGTCGATCACATTTATTGCAAAGCGGCCACTCATATCTAACCTCAGAATGTGGCTCTTTCTAGCTGTAAGCATCCTGGAAAAGTAAAAGTATTACAAATTACATTTAACCATAAAACCGACAAAATATGCGAGTTGTTTCTATTTCAGGATGACTCAAACAGACACTAGTGTTCTGCTATAGTAATGTGTCTACAGCTGAAACAACTCACATTATCATCCATACAATCTGATTTTCACAGCAGTCAAGATAAACATTGTGGTATTCAGGGTCAGGACACTGCGCCGTCTGGTAGGTGGATACTAACATCCTGAAGATGGAGGTGCTGCATTCTTTTAAGATGCTGGTATGCTCTGCCAGACCATATGATATCTTAATGCAGAAGACCACAGAATGAAACACATGGTCTTTTAACACAGCTGCCCCCCCCCCTTGCAGCACATTTACAGTAACTTCACCAGTGCCATGATGCAACTGAGGGGAAATACCTTGGCTGGTCACATTCCAATTTTGCACTGCCTTGTCTGTACAGAATTGGGATTTCAATGAATGCCACTCGAAGGGTCCAAAGAAAAGACAGATGCTCAGTGCAAGTTTGGCTGGGTCTGATGGGAGAGAGAGGATGTATATGGACAGTTGTTTGATAATTACAATTGCTGCCCAGAAGGTAACTGGAAGTGTTACACTGCCATAAGCTTCTAGATGCATCATTCAGGTTATGTTATACCATGCCTTTGTGTCTAACCATGTGTTTATATTTGTTAAATATACCGCTTTCATATTCTCTCATGTTGTATCTGCATCTTTCCTTGTGTAATTTGGCTTTGTTTACTTCCATAGCCTGAATGAAACATCTATAAGTGTCTAATACATCAAAAGGAAAGCAGAGCAGATTCCTTGCCTGATGATGGCCCGTTAGGCCGAAACATGTTGTGAAATAAAGAAGAAAGAAACATCGAAACCTAGTGGATTTTCACTGAGTCACACATGGACGGATAAGAATCAGAACAGTATTCAAGTTTATACACAATGCAACAGGATGCTAAAATATAATATTATTCAACTTATCTGTGAATGTCCTCTCACTATTACCTATATTAAACACTCCGAAGTGCCATGTGCAACCTGGGTAACACCCATCGGTGCACTAAAATGTAAATAGGGATAATTACTTCTGTATACTATAAACGACAACTTCGGCCCCTTGGCCAGCAACTCCACGAGGTTGATGGCGTAACACCACAATACTGGGGGATCCATATAAAATTGCCAAGGTCACATCTCTTTCCAGCAAGCATAACTTGGCAGGCTTTGGAACAACTCCCAGTTCAACTACAAAAAACACAAGAAAATTACAGTCTCCAGTGCACCATATATACCACCAAATTAGATTATATTTTTTCATATAATGTATGTAAAAACTAAGTATACCTACCAATAAGTTAAAAGCAGTGATCATGTAAATGAACATACTTTACCATATGTACATTTGGGGCGAGACTTAGAGGCAAACAGTTGCAACTCTTATTTGGACTTATTACATACAGGAGATCGTTATACAGATATAAATTTAGTAGCAAAAGGCTAAAATTCTATCAATAAAACCATTGATTTTAACACTTCGCGGACCGGTTGCATGATATTATGCTTTTCGCTTTTAAACGTGGTGGACCGGTCACATAATATTATCATTTTAGGACACGTTATGTTGTAACACACTATACCTTCCTCTGGCTCCACGCAGATGCATAACTGGTGCGTAATGGACCTCCTGAATGTTTGCTTAGTAGTCAGTAACATGACCTCGTTGTTTTCCTATCCCACTCCAAAGGAAAATGCCTTTGTTCGTCTTCAAACTGTATGTACCAGGCAGTAAGTTAGTAGTGCAATATGGATCAAGGACGAAAGTGGTTGAAGACCAAGCGATCTCTCGGAGAACAAGAAATATCTTACTTGTTCTCCAATGAGCTATCTGACGTGCCTTGTGAGACGTGTAGGGATAGTGACTCGGACAGTGGCAGTGACAGGGGACAACAAAGAATTGTGGCCAGAGACAGTAAAAGTGACAGTAGCTATGACAAACAGTTAGGGTAGTAACATTGTAGGGACAGTCACATGGGGAAAAGTAGACAAATCGCCTAATTTGGTGATTCTTTGACATGTTATGTCAGGAAACTAACAGATACTATCTCCAACACCGTAAAGAGTATGACAGAAGTTATAAGGTGTTGAAGTGGGTGAATGTCACTTCAGCAGATATGAAAATTTTTTTTGCAATAATCTTTCTAATGGGACACACAAGGAGGGATAATCTAAAAGAATATTGGTCAACAGATGCATTTTTAGAAACTACCATTTTCAGCAAACTAATGAGCTGCAAGAGATTTGAACAAATTTGGTGTTTGCATTTCAATAACAATGAACTGCAATCACAATAAACAAGCAGGCTTCTCAAAATTCAGGCCTTATTAAATTTTTTCATTCAGAAATTTCAGACCCTTTATAAGCCAAACCAACAACTGTCTTTGATCGAATCGGTGATTCCTTGGAGAGGGGAAGGCTTCGTATGCAACCATATAATCCTGGGAAACTTACAAAGTAAGTTGTTCGTGTAGTTAGTGATAGCACTTCAGGCTATATTGCAAATTTAGAAATTTATTCTGGTGAAGGCAAAAAATTACAAGTAACTATTGTTTCCTTTTAAAATCCCATAGTGATCAAAATTACCATGTCTTTCAAGACAATTATTATAACAGTGTGGCAACTGCAGAACACCTAATTTCGAGAAAAGTATGTGTTTGTGGAACGATTAGGGTGAACATAGGCCTTCCTCCAGATCTGAAAGAGGAATGTAAATCCCTGAAATGTGGTGAAACCACATTCAGGAGGATGGAGGATATTCTTCTTCAGTCCTGGAGGGATACTCGTGTTGTGAATATGATTTCCACAATTCACAATTCAAGCATGGTTGATGTTCAAACGAGACATGGACAGGTAAAGAAGCCTGTTTGTATTTCTGAGTACAATATGTTCATGAAGGGAGCTGACAGAGCCGTTAAGTACTTGGACTATTATTCTCTTCCTCGGAACACAGTAAAGTGGACAAAGAAAGTTGCCTTGTGGCTTATAAATTGTGCCATTTTCAATTTGTTTTTGGTTTTCAGAAATCTAAACCCTCATTCAAAATTGAAATACAAGGCATTTGTGCTGAATGTGGCAAAAGCCTGGGCTACAGACCACACGGTGACGGCAGAACCGGCGGCAGACACAGTCTTAGTGCGACCGGGCCCGTCTACTCCCACCCCACACAGGACTCATTTTGAGCCCCCTGTGCGACTCTCAGGTGATATGCGGAAACATAGCCTCATGAAAACTGTGAAGAGTGAACATTCCAAGGAGAAGCATCCTTCTAGGCAATGACGTGTTTGCACAGTTCACAAAAAAAGGAGTATGATTGTCTACATTTGCAAGTTCTGTGTAATGCCACTTCATAAAGGGGAATGTTTCCAGAAATATCACACTCTCAAGCACTTCTAGGATCACTGGTAAGTGTTCTCCAAAAATTTTAGTTCATAATATTAATTAGGAGATTTTATATTAACACTTTGAGGACCGCGCACACATTAATACATTTTTCGCTTTTAAACATGGCGGACCGGTCGCATATTAATACGTTTTTAGAAACGATTAGTTGCAACACACTATACATCGCTCTGGCGCCACCTACATTGCACGTAACTGCCTGCAGATGCGTGATAAGACTCTGGAATATTTAGTTAGCAGTCAGTAACTTGACCTCGCTGTTTACTTAACCGACTATAAAGGAAAATGCTTTGCCTTCTCCAAGCTGTGTGTATCAGCCAGTAGCTAGTGGGGAGAATGGATCAGGGACAAATTCACCTCTGATGACCTAGCTGACCTGCCTTGTGAGACGCACAGTAATGGATTGTCATTCAGACAGCTACTGACGGGGGACAACAAAGAATTGTGGCCAGACAGTAAAAGTGATAGTAGCTGCGACGATAATGTGGGTAATAACATTGCGCGTAGTAACATTGCGGGGACAGCAAAAAAATCTAAAAAAATCTAAACCCTGATTCAAAATTGAAATACTCGTACAAAGCATTTCTGATGAATGTGGCAAAGGCCTGGGCTACAGTCCAGATGGTGACAGCAGAACCAGGGTCACACAAAGACTTAGTACGACCGGGGCCATCAACTCCTACCCTACGAAGGCCTCATGTGGACCCCCCAGGGCGACTCTCAAGTGATATGCAGAAAAACACCCTCGTGAAAATTGTGAAGAGTGAACATTCCAAGGGGAAGAATCCTTCTAGGCAATGCTGTGTTTGCATAGTTCACAAAAAAAGGAGTATGTCTACATTTGCAAGTTCTGTGTAATGCCACTTCACAAAGCGGAATGTTTCCAGAAATATCACACCCTCAAGCACTTCTAGGAGCATTGGTAAGTGTTCTCCAAAAATTTTAGTTCAAAAAATTAATTAGGAGATTTTATATTAATTTTTAAAGTGTACAGCGCACAAGTTAGGGTGGTATGTTTAAAAATGCCAGTCCCCAGGGTGATTTAAATATTTAAATTGCCAGTCCACGAAGTGTTAATTTTTAAAGTGAATGGTGCAGAAGTTGGGGTAGTAGGTTTAAAAATGCCGGTTCTCAGGGTGATTTAAATATTTAAATTGCTGGTCCGCAAAGTGTTAAGATGCAGAATATAAGCCTCAATTGCTGTCTTGAACAATGCTACAGAACAACAGATCTACTGAAACACACATGATACTGAATTTCAACTGTTTACATCAAATATGAACAGCTGCTGTTCAAATGAGTAACCCTGCGCCAATTGCTAAGGCTATTTAGCACCAGTAATGTGGAGCAGTGGAACGAAGGACAACTCATAGGTTACCCAATAAAGTACAACATTCTTTTCATTTTGATGAGATGCTTATAAACATAAGTGGGTTTAGTTTTGACTTTGCTGTGCAATATCTGTGGTTCTCAGACCAGTGAATACCAAGAGTACGGACTCCTGGGATGTGAAGCAATGTACTGTGATTGGTGGGCGCAAATAATTCAAAGGAATCTGCTGTAACCTTCGTTCCATGCACACATCCACCTCTGTGTGGCTTAGGCAAAAGGAAACTTTTATGTTATTTCATTTCTTTTTTTAACATGCAAATCCTGATTTTTTAAACTTTTAATGGTAACAAATTAGGACAATTTTAATTATTGCAATAAATGATCCACTCACTCTCAAATTTTGTAAGTTTGATGATATTTCCTGGTTTGAAATGCAGCGGTTGTATCTGGTTACCAAGAGTACCAGAAGAGAGCAACAGAAGGCTGCTCTGAGGGCAGAACACATGCCAGTTGACCCCCAGACTGTGTGACTTGAGGGCTTTCAGACAGTGCTTCTCAGGGACTACCTGAAAGTAATGCAACCTGGCATATTTATGGATCAGCTGAATTAACACTCACTATGAGAGAGCATGGTGGTCTCAGGGTGAGGTGTACTCTCATCAGCATGTTCTGAGTTTGATTCCCTGTCAGATCTCCACGTGGATTTTTCTGCTCACAGATTGAAATCTTCACCTTTTATATTCATAATGCTTCAGAAATGTGACAGTATCAGACTCTTCTAAGATTCAGACCCAACACTGAGCTGTAAGTACCCTCCTCCAACCATCACTCTCATAATGACCTTATGAGTAGTAATGACAGTCTTCTGTGTGCCCCACCCTTGCTTCAGTGGGCAGAGGCCACTGGCTACATCTGCAGCACACGCTGAATGACAGGGAATGACCTACCAAAATCAATAAATGGTAATGCTGAAACTGTTTTATTTGTGGATGGTACCAGTATAATTATTAATAGCCTTAACCCGATCGACCCCATGATTCCATGGTCGCTGCNTAAAGTTTTCCAAGATATACGTTGTGCGTTCAAGTTCTAAGGTCTCCGATTTTCTTTCTCACACAATAATCATACAAAAAATTTGAAACTTCTGTCACTTTTCAACGAAATCTCCCTGCAGCCATACACATTTTTCACAACATCGACCCCATGATTCCATGGTCGCTGTGAACACTTCTGTAGGAGTCTGTTTTGACCACTGGGAAATTGCTGATACAATAGCGGCACGACTGGTGAATGTGCGACCACGGAGAGTGTCTTTCATCGTTGGGAAAAGCCAAAAATTGCTAGGAGCCAGATCAGGTGAGTAGGGAGCATGAGAAACCACTTCAAAGTTGTTTTCACGAAGAAACTACTGTGTCGCATACGCCCGATGCGCTGGTGCATTGTCCTCGTGAAAGAGCATATGTGCAGCCTTTTCTGGCCGTTCTTCTTGCAGTGCTGGAAGGAGCTTGTTCTTCACATCTTGGTAGGATGCAACTGTCACCGTAGTGCCCTTTGGAATGCAATGAGTAAGGGTTACGCCATCGCTATACCAAAACATGGCCACCATCATTTTTTCAGCACTGGTGCTTACCCGAATTTTTTTGGTGGCGGTGAGTCTGTGCTTCCATTGAGCTGGCTGCCACTTCGTTTCAGGGTTGAAAAACGGCTTCCATGTCTCATCCGTTATCACAATTGATGAAAACAAAGTCCCATTCATGCCTTCATCACGTGTCAACATCGCCTGGCAAATTGCCATGCACGCAGTCTTGTGGTCGTCCGCCAGCATTCGTGGCACCCACCTGGAGGACACTTTCCACATTCACAGGTCTTCATGCAGGACTGTGTGCACAGATCCCACGGAAATGCCAACTTTGGAGGCGATGTTTTCCACACTCAATCGGCGATCCTCCAAAAAAACTTTCTTGACTCGCTCGACCATGTTGTCAGACCGGCTGGTGCAATGCCGAAGTTGTTTTGTTTGTTGTCACACGACGTTCGGCCTTCTTTGAACTGTCACACCCACGAATGCACATTTTTCACATTCATGACACCACCAACACATGTCTCACTCAACTGGCGATGAATTTCAATGGGTTTTGCACCATGCAAGTGGAGAAAACAAATGATTACTCACTGTTCTTGTAATGAAAACATCGCCATTTTAAGTATCAAAAACACGTCTCATTCTCGCCGCCACCACTAGAGTTCTGTGTGCCGTACAGTGCTGCCATCTCTTTCATGCATTCACAAAGAGTGCACACATATTTTAAACTAAACGACATGTGTCTATCTGCTCCCAGTCCTGAGAAAAAAAACTGGAGACCTTAGAACTTGAACGCCCCTCGTAAAGATATGGTTTACTACTAACCTATTGTCATTAAATTTCACTAAGACTCAACTTATACAATTTGTAACTAAGACTAGTTCTTTACTTGACCGAAATATACTGCATGGGAACAAGAAAATAGTTAATATTTGTAATACAAAATTTCTTGGATTAACGTTTGACAATACTTCCTCCTGGAAGATTCGCATAGATAGTCACACCAAAACTAAGTTCAGCCTGCTATGCGATTAGAACAGTTAAGCCTTTCTTGTACCAGGGATCATTGAAAATTGTACATTATTATTATTTTCACTCAATTATGACTTACGGACTAATATTCTGAGGAAATTCTCATTATACCAACATAATTTTTAGACTACAAAAAAAGGTATTAGAATTATTATGGGGATTAGGGATAGAAACTTATGCAGAAAATATTTTAGAGAACTAAAAATACTACCACTAAAATCTCAGTACATATATTTACTTTCTACTGTTTGTGATTAATAACAGACACCAATTTAAAGTAAATTTTGAGGTTCACAATATTAATACTAGGACCAAATCTGATTTGCAACATCAATTATCTCATCTGCCAGTTTTTCAGAAGGGAACTTATTATGCTGGGATTAAGATGTTTAACAGCTTACCTGTTCCAGTAAAAGATCTGTCCCATAACACAAAACAATTTAAACTGGCCTTGAAAAAAATCTTGTATTCCCATTCATTTTAAATGTTGGGAGAGTATTTTAAATACAAGATGAACTAAACTTTCTATAATTCTGTTTATAGGATATACTGTATAAAAGACTTTAAATTGATATTTGTATATATATTTTTAAGGAATGAGCTTAATAAGGTATTAATGTCTAGTTGATGAATTGTACATGTTGGTTAAATTATTGAATTGTATAAATATGGTTCCTTTTGTGAATGTGACTGTAAGAGGACTAGTTTCTGTTCTCAGAACTAATGTATGTTAACTGTGACATGTTCTATAGCCGATGGCTTAGGTAGCCAGTAAGGATCTATGGAAATGAAAACAAAGATACAAGACACTTCTCTACATTCTACACTGGCTCCATGCTGCAGTCTTCTTGAGCATTTACATATCTGGCCAACCAAATTCCATGTTCTTATGGATCCCAAAGGTTAACTATGTTTTCACAAAACTGGTCTTATACTGAGCCACTTCAGTCCAGTTTGCAAATTCACAACCCATTTCTCTAAGATGCATTTTAATATTATCCACCTATCTACACCTAAGTCTCCACAGTGCTCTCTTTCCTTCACATTTGCCATGTGACTTATACATAGTTTGCTTTCAGCCACTGGTTACCATACGGCTGTGCTCATAGACTGGAGCATTAAAAGCAGCAGTGAAAGGGTTACCCATTTCTGGTATCAAGACTGAGGGGACTGCTGTGCTTACTTAGTTTTGATAATACTGGTCATAATAAATAACAAAATAAGGTAGTAAGTATATGTTTTAAGAATGAACAAAGACAGAACCCCAAAGAAGGTTCTGAAAATGAAGCTAAAGAATAACACCCAAGGGAGAAGCCAAAATCAAGACTGGAACAACAGGCTAGGGAGATACTGCACGGAAGGAAGGAGGTAACAGAGAGGGAGGTGCTTTCAGAAAAGCAGACTCTAAGGCCTCTCAGAGGCTCTAAGTTGACAGATAATCCACATAAAGCAGTAATGTCTCAAGAAGAGAAAAATAAAATATTGGTATTTGTGAATAACAGCTTGCCCACAAAATCTTGTGTCAACTTCAGCAAACAAATCTGAATCCAGTTCCAAAATTGCATCACATAACTCATGCATCTTTTTCTGTCTTATGCATGGAAGTGACTAACAATAAGCCCCATCATTGACATATATATGAAGAGTTTAAATGAAAAAGTAAGCTGTCTTCTGTTACCAGTTAACCTCATAAGGCTTGCCCCTTTTGTTTTATCCTTATTCATTTGGGTGGGGGGAGGATGCGCAATGTAATGGCTACAGTAGTGAGACAATTCACTTCCTCCGTTCCTGCTTACATTTCTGTTTTCTGGGGGACATAACTGTACCTGAAATAGCTCCACTCCATGATCTGTGATGAACACAATTTCACTGTTACATGTCCACACAAAACCAAGGATCACAGTGTTCTTCCCTTTACAACTCTGTGAGTACTCCACTGAGTCCATCCCTTCAACACCAATAAAGTTCACAAATTCCTGAAAACAGAAAGCAGAAAATGAAGCACTAGCAATCACTATACAAAGAATGGAAGGGGGGGGGGAAGAAAGAGCAGAANAGAGGAAGACACAGCAGAAAACAAGTGAATAGAACGGACAATTTGCAAAGCAGTGAAGATTCATATTGTGGTGGTTTTGGTTATGATTCACACAGTCTAATGTGGGTAGCTATATTCCTCTGAAACATTGGCAACCACCTACCAGAGTTATATAATCCAGAATGACACAACATGTAAGTCCATAAAAGTTGCAAGACAAGCCTTTGTGAGCTGAGAGCAAAACCATGTTTGGGTTCTGTGTATTCATGTGGCATTGCTCCTTCCTGCTTCGTCTACTTCACATAAATTGAAATAGATTAATAATGTTATATTTTAGCGTCCTATTGCACTGATTTATGTCCATGATTTATTCTAACCGTCTTACAGTCCATACATTTATTCACCTTACTCTTCTCTCTTGCACTACATGTTTCAGCACAAAAGTGCCATCTTCAGGTGCTTTTCGATGTACGTCAAACTACTTCACTGCATGCCCTGTTGTCTTTATACTAAAATATATATTCGTCATATATATATATTGTAACGTGTTGCGTTACTGATCCCACTTCTGACACCAGTGTAACGTGTTTCGTTACTGAATACGCTGTACAGATCGTTAACTGGTTTATTGAACAATCTACAAGTAACGGCTACAATTACTTATTACACAGTTGCGGGGTTTCACACTTTATAACCCTAAACGCATTAATCTGTTAACACTGTTGCAGGGTTTCACGATTTATAACCCTATGCGCAAATCAGTTCACTCTGCGTTCAGTAGTCTACACGTTTACAGTAGGGGAGCTAGGTATCACTGTATCA